AAGGGGAAGGAAAGATCGCGCGCGGTCCGTAGTCCGTTTTATAAGGTACTGCTCCGGCATTCGCCTGGTGTTGATTGGAGTAACCATGGACACTAACCAATCACAGCAACCGTACCCTATAATTCTCCTCCAGGCGGGGTCTGAATTCTACCTAGCTATCTAGCCAGTGTCGAAAATTCTGCTAATGCTGGGACTCGAATCCTAGGACCTGCTGGCGAAGGGAATTGCAGTGATATCAGTTGATGTCCTGAGCCATGTAAGCCGGTGGGGTTGCCGGGGTCGGTTAATTATTACCAGGCCGTTCCAGGGGCGATTGTTTTGTTTCGGCAATAGTAGTATTGTTTTCGATTAGGAGTACGTATTAATAAATATGTTGTGTTTTGGATTGGAATATTCTATCTTTTAACTCTGGTAATGTGAATATAAGACTTCCTTTGAATAATTATACTCGTTATATTATATTACATTTGTTGTATATATTTCTTCCTTAGGTCATTTATAATGGAGATAATGTTTTTTATATTCTGTCACTTAATAATGTTCCTCTACCCTAAGTTTTGACTTAGAATGCATTTACGAAGTAACCCTACGTTAAACTATAGTTTAACGGAGGATTACTCCGTAAATGCGTTCTACGACAAGTTGAATGTATACTTGATACCATAGTATTAGGCGTCTAGTTCATAAGTCGTCTCCGGAGTCGATAAGAGGACCGCCAGGTAGGTTCTTCGCGTATGCGCTTCTCTCATTCGCGCTTTTGCGTAACTACCCAATGGCCAGAATTAGGAAGGAATCAACACAGTGGTAAAGTTTAGGACGTTACGTAGTTACGCAATGTGGTTTTTCCATGTGAATTTTTGATCCAGTAATACACCCAGATATTTTACGGGCGTTTCATTATTAAGCCAAGGAATTGCAGTAATATTAATTTTATTTTGTCGTGGTTGATGTATTTTTCTTAGTGAGAATATTTTAGGCTGTGATTCGGTAGGGTTTATGGCAATACTCCATTTCATTGTCCATTCGACAAATTCATTTAAGTCCGACTGGAGATCTTTGCAAGCGTTGATAATGTTTGAATTTGCATTAAATAATTCTGTATCATCGGCATAAAGTGCTATTTCTGAGTAAGTCATTTGTGGATAGTCAGCTACATATGTGTTGAATAATAATGGAGAAAGTGGGGAACCTTGTGGCACGCCGGCTTTGATGATATGTGCTCTTGATTTACTGTTGTTTATACTAACTTTGAAATCCCTCTCTGACAGAAAGCTTTTAATGATATTTGGGAGATAATCGGGGGTTCCTAAGGTTTGCAACTTGTAAAGTAGCCTAAGATGCCACACTTTATCAAAGGCATGTGCGATGACGAGAAAAATTGCAGCTGTGTACATTCGGTTGTGAAATGCTTCAGCAATGTACTCTGTTACTTTTAATGGTTGATGACTTGTGGAGTAGTTTGGACGGAATCCGAACTGCGTATTTGGTAGTGCACTGGTTTCGGTGAAAAATTGGAATAGTCGTGATTTTATAAGTTTTTCAAACATTTTGGCAAATGTCGGTAACAAACTAATTGGTCTATAGCTAAGAGGATTTTGTGGATTTTTGTTCGGCTTGCATACTGTTGTTATAATAGCAGTTTTCTAGGTCTTTGGATAATATCCTAATCTTAAACAAGCATTATAGAGAGCTGTTAATCCTGCAATTGCATTGCGAGGTAATTCTTTCATCATTTTATTATTTAATAAGTCATGGCCTGCTGATTTTCTCGGTTTTAAAGCCTTGATTATTTTATGTGTCTCAGACGGGGCTATAAATTTAATTTTTGTTGGGACGGAATATCGCGGTATTGACAAGTTTGCTTCCACTTCTAATTGGAAATCAAAGTCGGTTACCGGGTTAGTTGAAAATATTTTCTCAAAATATTCCGCTAAAGTTTCAGCTTTTTCGAAATCCGTCGTTGCTAGTCCTGAGTTACAGGATAATTGAGGGATGAAAGATTTTTCCTTTGTAATCATTTTAATTGTATTCCACATTGTCCTGGAGTTGGGAGGGATGCTGCCTAAAAAGTTTTGGAAATGTGTACACCTCACTTTATGTCATTCTTGTTTAATTTTTATAGAATGCTGTTTAATTTTTGTTTCACTGTTTATTGCGTGAATATGGCCACATTCCACAAAGGTTATGTTTTTCTTTAATTAAATTTGGTAGTGGTGTAGGAAGCGGAGTATAATTTTTGGTGAAATTCCTAACTTTAGTAGATGACCTTTTGATAGCATTTTTAATAATGTTTTCGAGAGTAGTTGATACAACTGTCTATTGCAGACGAATGTTTAAGATTCTTAGGCATACTGACATTCGTTATTCAGAATGTTTCTATACATGTTCCAATTATACTTTTCTGCTCGATATGTTTTTGTCGGGTTTTCGGATGAGTCTGAATTGGCTTTTGAACGAAATTATTACGGATTGGTGGTCTGAGTCTAATTTCTGGTTTGGCATTTGGTAAATCGGAATGTTTAAATTTTGTGTAATAACTATATCTAGAATATCAGGGAACTACATTTGGGTTATGAAGGTAGTATGTGGACTCTGGAGAGCTAGGTATATTAAGATTTCTTTCAATGAGAATTTATGAAGAAGTTCCCATTATATGAAGTATATACAGTTCAAAGATTTGGTTTTTACAATTCAGGTCTCGCGCTAATATTATTTGTGATCTACCATCAAACAATGCTTCAAGAAACGTGACCGGAAACTTTTTGTTGGGAGGTTTAATATGCTGCTCCAAAGGTTTGTGAGAAGAGATCAGTCATTTGATAATAATTGTTTCTATTTCATTGAGGATGGGGATTGTATCAGTGATGTTTATTTTTTTTATTAATGAGAATTGTTACCCTACCTGATTCTATTGAGAAATTCGATCATTGCGGTATGATAAATATTTTGGATCGAAAATTTTTCTACCGGCTTTAAATGTGGTTTCTGAAAACAGGCACATCTATGTCGTGAACTGTGTAGTGATAAGTACCTAGTTCATTCTCTTGGCGCTTTCACGCCATTTGGCATTCCTTGAGAATTTTGAATTCTTTTATTTTGTGCATTATTTGTACAGTAATAAGCCTTTGAAACCTCTTGTTTGTAAACTGAGGAACGATTCAAGAAAGAATATTATTTATTATTGTACCGGATTAGTTTTCGTTTTTATACATTTACATTGGAGAACTGGCGGGAATTCCTTGTTATCTGGCAGGCGCGGCTACTAGTCGCATAAGCAAAATAATGCACGGGCGTTGAATTAAGTGTTAGGTAGAGGAAACCTTGAGGGGCATTGTGATAAGGTTGCGTGTTCTGATCCAGTTGGTGATTGGAGAACTGCCTATTTGGCAGTTTATGTGATGAAAATTTATGATTAGCCTGATTCAAATTATATTTTGTAACTGCTTCTTTGTAAGCTTTACAGCCTTTGTAGTTAGCCGTGTGCTCCCCGCTGCAGTTAACGCACTTTGGTACATTATTATGTTTAGGTTTATCACATTGCGAGTAATGATGGCTTTCTAAGCATCTCACACATCTAGGTCGCCTTCCGCAATTTGCCTGTGAATGATCGAAAGTCTGACAAATTTTGCACATGATTGGAGTTTTAGACTTTATGCGAATTTGAACTCTGACAATGCTATATATAAACTTATTTATTCTTAAAATTGATTTGTTATTTTCATTGTCAGTTAGATCGACCGCAACGGTAGTTAACGGTTTACGTTCTTTTCCGAAAAGTATAACAACTTTTAAAATTTCAAAGTTTTTTGAAAGTTCGTTAAATATTTCCTCTTCTGAATAGGTATTTGGCAGATGAAAGAGGCAACTGAAAACGTTTTTTGAGTAGGATACCTATATGTGTGATGCTCGATTTTCTCTTTTTCACAGAATTTTCGATATTCTCTATAGTTCTCTATTGAGTTGAATTTAATTTTTATAGTGTCTTTTTCTAATTTAGTAGAAAAATTGTCTTTTGTAATAGCTTTTAGTTCGCTGATAAATATGGGATAATCGAGTACTTTATGGACATAAAAGAGGGGTATTTTAGTGATGGATTCTTCACTTTCTTCCCTTTCGTTTGGCGAATTTTCTTCGGTCATCTTTTGAAAACCTTATTACCTATTTTTGACGGGCACGTTGTACAATATGCTTTTAGAAGCATTGTTTTCATCTGGTAGATCTACGTGCATGCGTTTTAGACTTGTACTGGTTTCATTAAAACCACTGGTTGACTGTTGACTAACTGATTGCTGCGGGGCAACACCATACCTGTTAAAATAAGCATCTTTAGTGCTTACTGACTGAAGGTTGGTCAGAGTCCCTTCCGCCTCTCCATCCAGCTGCAGGGCGGGCGGTTGTGATGTGTTGAATTGTTCCAAGGGTTGAATATTTTCCATTTGTGGTGGAAATGGCAGCACATCTCCATTCATTGCTGTGAACTGATCTGGCGTGTCACCATTTAGAACGTGGGCTGCTGACACCAATTGACTCCCAAAAGTGGGGGCACTTTTTGCGAACATACAGCTTTCTCTGAACCACTAAACTTTCACTAAGTAACACAATATTGCGTTATGAGCAAAGAACAATTCTATTGCACTAAAAAAAAACACCACTGTTAGAAAAATGGGGAGCCGCTGGTAGCGGCGTCCGTTTGTACTTGCACTAAACACGAGTTTGAGCGTAACACCGAAGCACAGCGATAAGTGGAGCAACGCGATGCTTACTCCACGACGTCTAGAGCGAGACTGTTGATTTCTTTGAAAATGCTCCCCAGACAAAATCGACCGGGGCGCGGTCTTGGACAAGCACCACATGGCACGTAGGGGCGGGGAAGCACTGTCATACGGCTGTGTGAAATCATGAGAAACGCATAAACCTGTTGTTAGGGAAAGATTGCGCCATGAGGTTAAAACTGGGAGGACAACACAGTCACTGATTTTAGCAATGCGATCTTTATCGCGATGACGCGGGTTCGCTCACCTCGACCGGCCGTCTTGCGCCACGGCGTGGGGGAGGTTGTCGGAAGCGGACTCGGTGGCGATGGTCAAGCCTTTTACCACACATTCGATCAGTGCCTTGCAGAGAGAACCCAGCCGTTAGTTGTTCCGACTCCTCGGCGCCTGAATTCGCCCCTTAAGTTTGCTGATGGTAAGTTGGGCTAATGCGATTTAGAAATAGGTGTGTGTAAAACTGGCACAACCCTTACAGCATAATCACATCAAACCAAATTGAATAACTATTACTAATTTATCATACAAAATGAAATTTATTATTCCCGTTTATGAAATAAATATTGTTAAAAACTGCATAGTTATGCAACCAGGCACAATATTCGATAATTCAATTTATGAGTATGAACGGACAAGCAACTGAAACCTATTATACAATTAAGTACACATTCAATACTAATTTATTACTCTAAATATAAATTTATTAATGTTTCCGGGTACGAAATAAATATTATTAAATATTTAATCAGAGTTATCCCACAAAGTCAAAACTTCAAATTCGATAATAGAGAGAACCCACAAGCAAAATTAATTAAACCCTCGTACGTAATTAAACACACACGCAATACGTTACTCTAAACAGAAATGTGTTACTCTTTCCGTAAATATTATAACGGAAATAATATTTATTATGAAATAAATATTGTAACGCCTTAGATATGCAACCACGCACAACATTCAAGGAAAAAGCTACGTCGAATTAAGCCACCGTCGTGCCTGTCGCGAAACTCTTAGAGGGAGAAATAACCTACCAACCTACATACGCCAAATAGCGGGAGAGAAGATATTTCTAACCTTAGTAAAACATTCACTCCACTAATGGGCTAATGCCCAGAGCAGTTTTTGCCCGGAAACAATAAATTAATTGGAGTCTGCCAACTTTCACTGGTTCGTCTTTTGTTCGGGTGTAGGTATGTTATGGTATGTCGGGTGCAGGTATTAAGTAATAATTTATACCAAAATTAAAAAAAAATTCTGCCGATTCAGAACATAAAAATATACATAGTTACAGAATAGGTATGCAAACTCGCATGTTCGCATCACCGTCATGTCAAGTTTGCATACCCCTACACGAAAAACGCATGAAACAAAAACCTAAATATACTATAATTTTGTTCTAAACATATATAACAAAATTTAAAAATTTAGGAACGATGCACAACATCAAAATAATGAATGCAAATGAGTGGATACGCTAACTTAATGTTAAGTTAGCATACCCACACAAGAAAAACGCATGAAACAAAATAAATAAACCAGAATTTGTTTCTTGTTAAGAACTAATTCACACCCATATTTAAAACTTATGAACAGATCTCAGAGTTATAAGATGTATTTCTCTAGAATATTGCACCATATGTCAGGCGGGAATGCACATTTGAAAATATATAAAACGAGCAGTATGAAGGCTGGTAGCACTACAGGTATCTATCTGTCAACTACAGATAGGATAAGGTTACAATATGGCAATTTTCAAAGAAATATTTCGAGCAGTTTTTAATAAAATTGCGTTTTGGCGTTACTGTAAATGCAAAATTGATGCACTTTTAAGTAAATTTCAAGAACATTTTTGAGTTTTCGAACAATTTCATGTAAAGGCATTTGAGGTACATTAGGTCGCATGTCAAGGTTATGAGGGCAGTCCGAATAGCTAGCTATCCCAGACCCAAGAAAAGAAAAAAAGACGAATACGGGAAAGTCAATACTGTAGAACCACTAGTTTCAAAACATCTGTCCGTCCGTCTGTGAACATAACTAACGCCTAAACCATACGTAGGATTTTTTAAAAAATGGATATTGCCTGGTCTACCTGGGTCGTCTCGAGGCGCAGGGATTTTAAAAAGCTTTGTTCAAAATTGGGGGGAATTATACATTTCTAAAAATGGCTCCAACATTTTTTCTTTAAATTTCTTGTTAAAAAAGCGTATAATATCCTTATAATTGTGGCATATGTCCAATATTCACGGATAAATCAGAATTTACGAAAATTGTAAAACCATGAATTATTCGTCATCTTCCAGCAATTACAAATTTGAAGATAGAGATTTTTCCTTCAAATTAAATTTGTTGTGCGTAATTAGTCCATTATTTGAGACTTTTAAAAGTCTTCATGCAAAATTTCGTTAAATATTTGCAATAAAAAAATAATACAAAAACAAAATTTCCTCAAAAACAGCAACAAGTATTTTCTTTAAAATTTGTGAAGTATCTTCATCTATGTTGACACATCTATGTGATTTGCACCCGGATGGTTCATGTGCTGTTAATTTTGTTGTAACTCTCCTTGATGGAGCCATAAGACAAAATTTCGCTTTATTGTAATTCAATTTTCCTTCAGACTGTGCTCCACCCACGCTTAATTGTCGCTGGCCGTTGCCGTGTGCGTAGAGCGAGGTCCAGGAGTTCCCGACGGGAGACAGAGACAGACACACAGAGACCCAGAGACGAGAGAGACGGCGATAGAGAGATGCAGAGAGTGACGGAAACAGACACACAGAGAGAAATGGCGCGTGCAATAATGTGTGTGTGTGTGTGACAGAGAGAGAGAGAGAGAGAGAGAGAGGGAGAGAGAGAGGGAGAGAGAGAGAGAGAGAGAGAGAGAGGAGATTGAAGATAGAGAAAGACCGGACACAGAGAGACAGTGAGCGACAAACAGAATGTCTCTGTCAAACAACACTCAAAAGTATTTCAATGAAAATGTCTATTTAGGACGTGGTTTTACACTTCTATTCTTAAAGTAATATTTCGCTTCTACTATTGGTAAATAAAAAAAAAGTAAAACAAATACTTTAGGTGACCAGAGATGAAAATTGGAACGAGGATGGGGAAACCCTGTAAAGCCAGTCGACATCGAGGAATTAGAAACCTAGAGAACGTTACTTAGTTAACTACGAAAAAGTCTGTGTCATTCTGTGTCACCACTTATCAGGGCCCGGCAATGTTTTTTCTACCGAAAATACGCAGTTTTTTCGCGCATTACTCGTTTTTTGTATATCGCGCATAGACTCCTTGTAATCGTACGTATACGAGAAATTAATAAGCGCTACTCTGGCGGGTCAAATGGCGACAGCTGAGGAGCTAGGAAACAAATAATAAGAGGTTCTGTTTCTTATTTACTGTGGGGTTCTTGTTGCAGTGGTAGCGACCGCCCGTGACCCGTTGGATCGACAACTTCAACGGCCCTATGGGTGTGATTGTGGGCATTGTGAAGGGAGTTGTGCAGACCTGCTACATCGACTACGTTCCCTGCGACATCGTCGCCAAGGGGAGTATCTTGTGCAGCTGCGAGGTCGCCAGGAAAGGGTGAGATTCCTTAGAATACTCAAGCTTTACTTCATCGCATACTGTTTATGCAGTATGCAGAAATTATTCTAAAGCAACTGCAAAACGGCGATTTTCGACAAACTCTTGTTGCGGGTCCCTCTGAAGGAAAAAGCGAATAAGTGCTATTTTCCTTCCTTTAGCCCAGTGTTCCCATTTTAAGGTACCGGGACTCGCAGTCACCCTTCATTCATTAGCTACTCTCCAAGTCTTCCAATCACACAAATTATGAGAAAAACACTCATTTGTAACATGACAGTTTGAAATTTAATAATCAAAGTAGTATTGCTACAGAAAGGCACAGACCTCGTACTAGTAAGTTTTATAATTTTTTTGATCTGTGCTTGCATTTAGGTGTTGCGCCATCCTCTTAGAAGCTGTCACTTATACTCAGCCCATTTACATTTCTTTTAAATTAACTAAATTTTTCGGTTTTCTAATGAAAAAAAGAAATATGACTTAAATATATTAAATAAGAGCAATATATAAATTAAATTCGATCAAAAAATTAAAGCGACTGCAATAATGGTATACCTGAAATTCTGCATATGAACGGCATATGCGGCAAGATATTTAAAAAATAAATTTGTGTGATTTTTTAAAAAACAAAAGAATACAGCAAAATTAATTATATGTAATCTTAAACAGAGCAATTAGCACTATCCATGCGCGAAGTATAAAGAAAACATTTCGAACCGATTTCTAGAAACTGCCGTTTGAGCGTATTTGAAAATGTGAAATTTTGAGCTCAGTTTTACAGAAAACTGTTGGATTTTCGAGAACCTTTATGTGACGTTTTTTAAAGCACATTTACTCATAAATATGAACAATATACTCATAAATCAATTACTCCTAAATATGAACAAATCTCCACTTATGTAAATCTGACCGTCATGAGTTACAAATAAAACTAATGGTGCTACGTGATTTCAAAGACTTTCTCGAATTAGTTTTCTATTTACCTTGGTCTGGGGTAGCAATTCAGATATGCCCCATCTTCATGCTAGCTGTCTTCTATCGTCACCCAAGGTATATTTTTTGCCACATTCTCAATTGTTCTGAATCCGAATAGAAGAATCGAAATATGATAATAGGAATATTAAAGAAGGGTAAAATCGTCCTAACTTGCAATATCCATTAAAACATTACTCCATGTAAGCGCTCAACGGCCAACAAGTGATCAAGAGACGCAATGCGTTAAGGACGAATTGGGCACCGCATGCCCCTGTGATCCACACGTGACCCGGTCTTGCTGACCTCTGCAGTTGATCTGGCTGCTCTAAAAGGGGAGGCGGTGCCATGCATAACGCAGTAAAAAACATTGGATTATTTTAAGTTTCTGAATTTTTAAGAAAAAGTCCGTCAATGTAAACTTAACGTATTTTTACATTAAGGGAGCCTGACCATATGTTCCCCTTGAATATAGTAGTTTTTAGTGAAAACCGCATCTCAGTATCTGCAACGAATCAAGAGAAAATTGAAGGGAGCATCTTAGAAGGGCCACATGGTAGAAATACGTTTTTAGATCTCCTGGTTAAAGGTAGCGGCAAAGTGAAGATGAAAACCACAATAACTTCATTTTTTATTGCTCTGAATAGGTAAATCAGCCCAGAAAGCATTTACCGCAGTACCTTTAAGTGGACCTATATTTCAGCCAAAAGCAAACGAAATTGCAAAAACATTAGACATTTAAGATTTAAGCTGGCCCGCAGGTGGGCTCTACGGCTAAAAGAGACACTCAATTTCATCATTTATGATTTGTGGTGAAGCAAATAAAGTTGACGAAGAAGAAGCAAACAACTGGTTGATGAATTTTTGAAAATTATGTCTTGTGTGATGTCTAAAATATGGACAAAACTGGAACTTTTTACAATATTTTCCAAATCATAGCCTCAGAAATAAATGTAAAGAAAATATATTTTCTTTATTTTGAACGTGTCGTGTTTCCCACCCTTGGCGCGTGGTTAAGAGTGGTTGAGACTAATGACCGCTAGATGGAATGAGTGCTACAATTGTTGAAGATATTTAAATACGCATGAGTATAGCTTGAAGGAATTTATAAGAAAGATACATTGTAATTAAAGTAAGTGGTGTAAACAGAGAAGCGGTTAGTTAGCTTTAATTGTCGTTTCTCTGTTTACAGGTAAGAACAAAATGTTTATGTTAAATAGTTTTTGTAAATGATAATGTAAGTGATAGTTCATAAAAGTGAATAAAACTCCAATCTGTTTACAGGGAAACAAATTTAGCTAATCATTAACATGCATAGATAATTGTCTTATATAAATGTTACAAATCCCATGGTGGAGCACGTAACGCAGTAAACAACGTTTAACTCTTATCCTTGTGTCTAATACATACGGCAGTGATAAACAGCGCATTTGGGTGATCGGGAAGTCCGAGAAAACACGTTGTTTAAAAAAAATAAACGTGGATACTTTACCTTGCATCTAACCTCACTTAGGAATCTTAGATCGACAGTTCATCATTTCGTAAGTGGCTTCTTGGTTTCAACAGTCGAATGATTGATCAGAATATTTTGCTGACATCAGACTCAGAATGTTCTTCTGCTGACACTGGACAGGTGTACAGCCCAAAACATGCATGATCTAAACAACCAATGTAAACGTTCGCTCCCCCTCCCCATATGCAAGAAGTCGCCTTCAATTTTAGGATCAAGACATTTTTTTCTTATGAAGAGGTCACACCGTAAGCGACTTGTGAGCAGCAATTTGCGCTGCTGAAAAGGAGACGAATGCGTCCGTTTGGAGCGTGCTTGATGCAATGAACGCTGTCGCCGCATCCTGGGAACCTCTGTCGTCACAACACATACAGAAGTGTCTCAGCAGAGCCTGGTGACATACAGATGCTAATGCTGTAGGTGGTAACAACGATATTTCATCTGACGAATTCTACAGGACGGTTATAACACTGGAGTTAGTTTAGAGGAGTTTTCCAGTGTAGGGGACGATGTTAGCGTGTGTGCTTTACAGGAATCTAATGTTGAAGCTGTTGTGTCAGAAGTGGAAGAAATGTCATCAAAATAAAGTGAAGAGGACAATACCATTCCCCACACTCGCCAGGAAGTTTTGACCGTTTGGTTTACGAATTCCATGGGAACAGTTGGCCGTGAAGTTGTCAGGCATTTTCATTCCCGACTGCGACAGCGCAATATACAGGAACGTTTCACCAGAAAATGACCCCTACATTTTTCAAGTTGCAGTACAGTAATTTTCATCTCGTGGGCTTTTTCTGTGTTATTGTCACAAACTGATACAGGATTGATGTAATGTACCTGGTAACACTGTAGTCGAAGTAGGAGAATATCATACACTATACGGTTTCTATGTCATACATAATATTATATATTGTACTATATGTCCCGATATAAATAATTAGTGAATAGAAAATAATGTTTTCCAGAATTAAAATTTGACTCTCCTAAATGAAAACAGGCTCAGTGTTTTTTATTACAATTTTCGACCATTTTGTTTATGATATTGTGAACAAGTCTGGTCAATAGGTATGCTACAATTTGTTTTTTATTATTATGGGCATGGCTTTAGTAGATATGTTTTACCATTTTACTAATGTAATATCCATCATTTTAATCTAACTTTTATTAGATTTTTAATATTTTTGAAAAATACTCCAAATAGGGACAAAACATTAAAAAAACAAATTGTTATAGAAATATATAAGTTATTGAAATTGGCTTTCGGATATTGTCATAGCACATATAATATCACTACCAATAGCTTCCTCCAACTTCGAGAGAATATACAGAACGAACAATACAACACCTACGTGGATGAATATCTCCCGGGCATTCATCAACACCCAACTTCAAATTAAGATACTGACGATGTTCAGAAAATGTGATGTATTACTCAATCAATATGAACCTCAAACATCTTTATTTTAATAATACGAAAGTTAATACTACATCTTCGTATCTTAGAAAAAAAAAAATTTTTAATTTATAAATCAGAGTATATTTATCAACTTACTTCACTCAAAAGTCATTAAACAATACTCAGTTTGATATTGAACAAAATTTACCCAGTAGATTTTATGAATTATAGAGGTGTGAACTTGACAAATTATATTTTGTACCTGTCGTACAAAATTGTGAAAATTGGAAAAAAATATAAGACTTCCTAAAAATTCCGTGAAAAAACTAAATTTAGAGATATATGGTTAATAAATTTAATCATTACTAACACACTATCAGTAGTCAATATTGTATCATAAGGTGCATACTTTTGACCAAATAAACCGTACTTGGACAAAACAGAGCAAACATAACTCATAAAACAGTTCGAAACTAATATTTATTTCGTTTCTTTTTTTAAATTAGTTACGTCAATAGACACAACGCGTCTTGCTAACTTCTAGAAGCCTTCAGCACAACATGGAGTATTCCTCTATTAATTACTGTAGGTGTAATTCTCCTTTATTATGCACCCAGCACCCTCTAGGGGCCGCTGAGTAGTCAAATCATGTCAGTCTCAGTGAAGTCAAGGAATCGCCGATAGGTAGCGTCTCGCACGCGCCCTGTGTCATCTACCTATCGGCCAGAATTGGGAAGGAATAACGATAAGAGTAAGGTTTATGAAGCTTCACAGAGGTTGGACTGTGAAGCATGTTAACTCGTTTTGTCATAACAAATTGCACATGAGGTTCTACGGGAATCGAACCCGAAACCTCAGTGGTGAAAAGCAAGCGACTTCGCCACTGCGACACGAGAGCAGCTTCTTCTGGGCAGAAAACAATTAGAAATGAATTAGTTAATATCATTCACAAGGCCATCATCCAGTGGCGGCTCTGGGATTAGGCAACAGGGAGGGCACACAAAGTTAAAGAATCAAACAATGTTAGGCATTTGAAAATTTGTTATATTTGGATTGTTTAAGTCACCTAAGTAATATTTACAATCGAATTATCTTCCCGGAAGACAGGCTAAACACATCATCTATAAA